TATTGCTCCACTATAAAATGAAGGACAAAAAATTGATCTGTTCATAGGAGAAGTGAATCTCCCATCCTACAATCATTCTTTAGACAATATGATAGAAAGTTAAACCCATCCTGCTCAACATCCCACAAGCACTGAGAGCAAGCAAGAGGTCCCACAATACATAACCAACTGACCTCTCATAGGAATGGCCTGCTTTCTCAGAATTGAAGTGAGATAAACATCAAGTATGAACGATAGAAGAATGCACTCAATCAAAACGACAATAACCACCACTCAAAACATATAATCAAACGCTCAAAAAAAAAAGACTACAGATCACAGAAAACACCGAACCAAATTCCTCCAACCAGCCAACCAAAGGAAATTAACGAATCCACTCTCACAAGGCAGAAAGCTCCAGAACAGAGCTAAACCACTACACCATTTGACTCAAAAGAGAAGAAGAGAGAGGGATGGAAAGAAAGAGAGAGAAGGAAAGAAGAAAAGAGAGGAGGAAAGAAGGAAAGAGAGAAGGAAAAAGGAAAGGAGGGAGAGAGAGAAGAAAGAAGGAAAGAGAAGGAAAAAAAGGAAAAGAGAGAGAGAGAGAGAAAGGTAAAGAAAGAGAGAGAGAGAAGGAAAGAGAGAGAGAGAGAAGGAAAGAGAGAGAGAGAGATGGAAAGGGAGAAAGAGAGAGAGAAAGAAAGAGAGAAAGAGTGTGAGTGAGTGAGTCGTTATTATTATTGTTATCATTGTTATTGTTGGTATTCTCATTGTTTTTGTTACTATTTTTGTTATTATTATTATCATTGTTATTACCACCCACCACCCACCACCCACCACTACAGGGATGTCATCAGTGTACTTTAGAAAGAGATGATGTGATTCTTCAACAGTGATTATTTTTATTGCATCAGTGACCCCATTGCCTTGATGGAGGTATGCACTCTCGGAGTGCTTTTATTCGTTATTGTTATTGGTTTTGTTATTGTGATTATTAATGTTATCATTATCATAATCATTGCCGTCCTTGTCCTTATCATCACCATCGTTATCGTCATTGTCATCATCATCATTATCAGTATTTATTGTGTTTTATTGTTGTTGTATTATTATTTATTATTATATTATTATTATTATTATTATTTATTATTATTATTATTATTGTATTATTCATTTTAGTATAATGTTACTATTTGTTATTGTTTTTTTATATTTTAGTATTGTTCCTATTATTATTGTTTTTATAATTATTTTATTATTGTTATTATTATTATTATTATTTCTGTTATTATTATCATTGTTAGTAGTAGTAATAGTATTGGCGGTGATGGTAGTGGTATCGGTGATGTTAGTATTAGTAGAAGTAATCTCTGCCCTCTGATGTAAATATGAATAATATAAATACTTACTCTGATGTTGCAGCTTCATAATTCTAAGATATTTACATGACTTATCGCGGCTCATCAGTTTTTAGTCATGGCAACAGAGGAACTCTTGGCATCAATAGAAATTTATCAAAACCAGGTTTGTCATTAATTGTGTTTAGTGTCTTAGTAAAAGCTACTACTGTTAGTCAGCTTATATGGAAAGAATACATTGGATAAGATATTTGCATATGATGTAAAGTGACACTGAATTTCTAATTATTTTATTAAGATTTTGATAAGTGATTAATTTATTGCACTGTGCAAAGAATATGTACATTGTAGTTCTAAGTAGCTTTGAAATGATTTCCTATGTTTATTGTATTGATTTTATTTCCACTAGTAACCAAATACTAGTCATTTATGAATTTACATTTTCTTAGTTGAAGGAGATTGAAGGGGCACTGTCATCAGCTGAGGAGGCAGAGAAACAGCAGCTTCAGGAACTTCAGGCAAACCTCTTGCAGCTGCTGGACCTTACTTTGCAGCAGTTGAACCAGCAGTCACAACTAAAAGGGGAGGAGGAGCCTCAACAGCACACTTCAGGCAGTCGAAATTCAGATGACTCCAGTCAGTCGGCCTCTGACAAATCTTCTTCATCTTGCAGTGATAAGAATTTAGATGATGAATTTGCATTGTTTCAGGTGATTATGTGATAGAATTAGAAATTCTTGTTTTTCTCCATTTATTTTTTTATTTTATTGAATCTATGTCTGGCTTGGTAGCCTAAAATTTTGAATAGTTCAATATGTTGTTTTGTGTATGTAAATGCATGACTGCTGTGTTTATTATTATAATACCATATTTATCTATTGCAAAACTTTAGTACCAAGAGTTCTCATCAGTGTTTTGCTATCTATATACACTGTCTTTACATGTCATAAACATATTTGTCTTTTGGGTTGAATTAATATTTTCCTAGAACGTATTTATAAATTAAAAAATGTCTGATGTCACTTTTGTTTCTCTTTTGCCAGTCAGAGATTGCAGACATTGCAGGTACGGCAGATGAGGAGGAGAAGGCAGATTCTAAATACTCCAAGGCAGAACTGCTGGCTGTAGAGGGAACACACTGCCGTGCCCCTTTTGTTGAGAAGTGGGGCGGCCACACATATCATAATGCAGTTGTCCTCAGCTTTGTCACACAGGATGATGGAGACATTGACTTGAATGAACCTGAGGTCAGTAGAATGCAAGTTTGGAGCATATATCTGGGTGTGGTGTGGGTGTGGGGGGTGTATGGGTGTGTACGTATGTGTGTGTGTGTGTGTGTACGTGTGTTATGTATGTATGTATATACATATTTGTAAATATACTTTTATGTATAGTTCCCCACTGTTTTAACTTGACATTTTCTTCTGTTATTATAGTCTAATTTTAGCTGTATTATTGATGTGTATGTCACTCTGCAATCATTAACTACCAAAGTCTTTCTTTCTTTCTCTTTCGTAGGTCCAAGTGCTGTTTAGTCAGCCAACCTGCAGAGAAATGTTAACTTGTCGTTTTTTCTTGTCTGGAAGATGCAAATATTCAGACGATAAGTGTCGTTTCTCTCATGGGATGAAGGTGCCATTTTGTGATATTAAGGAATATAGGTAGGCCAATTTACTTTTTGCTGTGAAGTATTTATTTATGGAAGTATTTAACTTGCAGTGGGATGTAATTGTACTCTGTATGAGTTTATATCTTTTATTATGAAGTGTAAATGTGTGAAAAATAAATACATTTTGGAAAATTCATTTAAATTTTAATTAATGTGATTTGATAAGAAAAGTATTCTGTGAGTATCTGGACATAAAAAACTCCTTTTAGAGTTTGATATTATACAACACAACTTTAATGTGGATGGGTCTTATTTCGTAGTTGCATTGGATAACTGCAACTCAATGATGTTACGCAAATATAATGATATATAATGGGGTCCATGTTTCTCTTTAGGAAGCCAGAATTTGGCATTCTTTTTTTGTATTAAGTTGTATCTTTTATAACTTGATAAAGTTACATAGATATATTAGTTTAGAATATGTTCTTTGCATTCACTTTGTTTCTTACTAGGGAGCCAGACCTCAGTGGTCTAGACTCTGGGAGCCGTGTCTTGGTACAGCACACAGATGACCTCTGGACAAATGCCACCGTGCAGGATATACTGGAGGATAGATCAGCCTTTTGTGTGAAATTGGACCATAGTAAAGCAGTGGCTGAAGTAAAACCCAACCAGATTATTCCCCTTCACCATGAAGAAGATGACACTGAGGTGAGAAATTTTGTATGAGATGGACAGACAGACAGACATAGATTTTCTGTAAGTACAATTGTTTATTTGTGCCAGGGTGGTAAAATGGTCACCATTTTCCAGTTTTACCATGCATCATTCATTCTTTCTCATTTCCTTTCTTATTATCAACTGAACCTGTTTACTTTTAGGTTTTTATATCTTTTATCTCTGATGTATACAGATTTTATATTTAATGCCACTGATTCCTTTATAAAACCTTACCCTATTTTTTTCTACAGAAATATGAAGCTGACAGTCCTAGTGAGGAAGACAGCAGTGATGATGAAAGAACAGTGTTTGTCCCAACAACAAACTGGTTACAGAATTCATTTTCACAGCGACTTGGCGAGTGGGAAAAGCATACTAATGTAAGCTTTGTAGTATTGGGCTCTTCTGAAAATTCATATTTTGTTGCGCTATTGTGCAGGCTTTCCACCTATATTGCATGCATATGGAGCACCTTATATATGAAGACGGTATCGGCCATTTTCATTTAGCTAATTTCTGTTGTGTGCTATGAATGATCTGTTCGACTAGAATATTTTTTATCAATAAATTAAATTAAAGAAGTCTGTGTGAACATAATTTAATACTCTAGAATGCTTCTCTTTAGAATTTGGTAGATTTCTTTACATGATTATATAGTTTTGAAAGCTAATTGATATGAATGAGAATGCTTGTGCGGTTTTGAGACCTAACTCGGACAGTGCCATGTTTGTTAACATAGGCACTTTGTTTGTTGTCTCTGTAGCAGTAATGTTTTACCATTGTGATAGGGTCAGAAATTTTTCATTCAAAAAGTTTATGGAGGAATGCAAAAATTAACAGAAAAAATAGGTAATATTTAGTCATATATTTTTTTCTTTTCCTTTCTCTACATACTAACCACTCCTATCTCTAACTTCAGGGCATTGCTTCGAAACTGATGGCCAAAATGGGCTATGTTATAGGGACAGGCTTGGGCCCAACAGGTGAAGGACGAGTAGAACCTGTTTCTGCATATGTTTATCCTCAGGGAGTTTCTCTTGGTGAGTTTGTTTTTTTTAGTATGCAATGTTACCTTTTTGTGGGGTAAGATATGATTGCTTGTCAGGGAAATGAACTGTGATTGCAAAATACAGACAGACCTCTAGGAATTGACATAGTTATTACTGGAGGTCCATGAGCCAAGTTTAACATTGAAGATAATTCCAGTGCAAGATGTGTAATTACTCAAGATATTAAAAAGATAAAATTCTGAATTTAATATTTCTATATGCTTAGCTGTTACATTTTCAATTTAGTATGGCAACAGTAGTTGCTTGACATTTATCACAAGCTTTTATTAACTATTGTAAAAGACACCCTGTAGTTGTTAGGGACACCTTGTTTTGTGAGGGTAGAAGATATTGAAAAATGACTGCATTGTTTTCTATAAGCTTTACTTTAATTACAATTATATGCATATGCATATACACATTCCCCTACTTACAAGTAAGCCATGTCCACCAATTCAGTTCATGTATCAGTGCAAGACAAGACAAGACAAGACAAGACAAGACAAGACAAGACAAGACAAGACAAGACAAGACAGACAAGACAAGACAGACAAGACAAGACAAGAGACAAGACAAGACAAGAAGACAAGACAAGACAAGACAAGACAAGACAAGACAAGACAAGACAAGACAAGACAAGACAAGACAAGACAAGACAAGACAAGACAAGACAAGACAAGACAAGACAAGACAAGACAAGACAACAAGACAAGACAACAAGACAAGACAAGACAGACAAGACAAGACAAGACAAGACAAGACAGACAAGACAGACAAGACAACAAGACAAGACAGACAAGACAAGACAAGACAAGACAAGACAAGACAAGACAAGACAAGACAAGACAAGACAAGACAAGACAAGACAAGACACAAGACAAGACAAGACAAGACAAGAGACAAGACAAGACATATATTATTATTATTGTAAAGTATTATTTTTTCTTTCTTTTATAATGCTACTATATAAATTTCATTTTGAACTCTTTCAGTTAAGAGATGAAATTATTAAAATTATCATTGTTGTTAGGTCTTAATACTGGCAAGTTAAAGTTATCCTGTAAACTTACTGGTGCACATTGTTTGTTAGGTTGGAGACTCCTGTGGTATTTTAAAACTTCTTGGATAGGTCCATCTTTGAGAGAATTTATTTTAGGTCAGAAGGGAAAAATCAATTATATGTTAGGCTATGCTTGTGTTGTAGCATTTTACAAGCAGGTTTTCTTGCTATTTTGTTATTTTGCCCAGCTAAAATGAAGAAAGAAAAACTTTCAAGAAAACTAGCCCAAAAGATGATAAATAAACATGTTTTGCAAAGTATGAATTACAAAAAGAAAGAGAGAAAATGAAACGATGGAAAAAAAAGAGAAGCGACAAAAAGGAGTAATCTGTGAGGTGTAGGTAGGACCTAGTCCCCTGTAGCATATGCAATAGAATAAAGGGAAGGCACCTGTTGTTAGTTAAACTGAGCAAGGAACTGGCAATTCTTCCATGCCCCCCAAGTGGTGAAGTCTCTTGAATTAACTGGTAAAGAAGACAGTGCATGGGCTAGGGTGTCAGTGGCAGCCAGATGGAGTGGGTATTTATTTTATATAGGTCTTATTTATAGGAATTAGTCATTAGTGTTGTGTGTGCATCACATATGATGTTGGGCAGTGAGGTGTGTGCTTAATCTTACATCTCAGAACACAGGAGTAACCAAACATTTTTTTTTTTTTTTTTTTTTTTTTTAATCCATTTTCAATGACAAAATTACCTGTTATAAGCCATTAAAGGATATTTTTTAAAAATTGATGACAAGGAGTGATTGTCACTGTCAGTGGAATTCTGACTTTGTGGTAAATATGAGTATTTAGGGCAAATTGGGAACATCAGTGTAATCAATAGGAACATCATACATTATGTGAAATTTTCAGGTATGCGGGGATTATTTTTTATGAAAGACTAACAATGACCAGTTATCTGGCATATTCACTATTAGAATTTTAATTGGATTACTCATATATTATGGCTGTATGATAATATCATATATGAGTGACCTCATATCATAGTGCAATGACATCATGATCTTGAGCATTCTCTCTTTTACACAACAATGGCAACATGATTATTATTCTAACACAGACTGTTCAGTCTTGATTTTTTATTTATTTATTTATTTTTTATTGTTTTTTTTTTTCATGATTTTTTGGGGGTCAGTGCATTGGCTTAGGATTACCTTAAATTGACAAACCTGGGGTGGTATTCACAAAAGGTCTATGACTTTTCTTTTGTCTATGATTTGCTCCATTGCCACATCTCAAATTAAGGTTGCTAATTATAATAAACATTTATATCGTTATATATCCTTTTTTTCAATAATCATTTGTAATAATATGACAAGGTTGATATTGCCACAAATCTTACTTATATTATGTCGGTAATTTTACAACTTTATAATATCTAATGTGATGTAGCATCCTACTTTTACTATCATTGTATAGCTATTTGTATTTTCTAATAAAATGTATCAATAAAAATGTAGGAGACGGCTCAATTAATGTTTGATAGTTTATCAAAAGAGGCCTTTTCTTGTTATTTTTAAAGTGAAATAATCTTCACTAGAGGAAAATTTGCATAAGAAGAAATTAAAAACAGTCCTTACATGTAAGCACAAAATTAAAGACAGCCTTTATGTTTGTAAACAGAAAATATCTGTAAAATATAAAAAACAGCTAAATTAACATTTGATAGTATATCAATAAATCTTACTTCTTAAATGATAATATTACACATTTTATACATTTAACTGTAACTTGGGCAACCATACCTTTGTTGCCATTGCATCAGCTATAAATCCATGCAGCGCCATTTGTATTTTCAAATAGAAACATGCTTTCAAAATGTTGAAAAGGGATCAAATAATAAGAGGACAATTTATCAAAATGAGCCTCCAAAGTCTATTTGACATTACTGTTGTATGATTATCTTCACCTGTCTTTGACTCCCCATGAAAATGTCTTTGACAGGCAGTTTTTGTCTGTGACTTGGCTGCAGGTATATGTCAGGTGTGGAAGGGTCCCACGCGCATTGGGACTGTCTTTCAAACTGCAATGGAAATTACATACATTTGAAGATAATCCTGTATCAAATATGATATAATCAAATATTAATTTTGTTGTTTATTCTATTTTACTGATATTTTCTATTCACAAATGTAAAGACTCTCATAAGCACTGTCTTTAATATGTTCTTATGCCAATTTTCCTCAGTTGAAGATTATTCTGCTTAAAGAATCCTGATGTTATTGGTTGTGTTTTATTATTGTATAGTTCTAGCACTGTCTTTCTTAAATGTAAAGACTCTCATAAGCACTGTCTTTAATATGTTCTTATGCCAATTTTCCTCAGTTGAAGATTATTCTGCTTTGAAAATAACAAGAAAAGGTTCAAGGCCTCTTTTGATAAATTATCAACATTAATTGAGCTGTCTCCTACATTTTCATTGCTGTATTTTATTAAAGATTACAAATAGTGATAAAATGACAATAAAAGTAGGATATCACATCACATTTAGATATTGAAAATTTGTAAAATTTCTGATATAATACAGTTAAGATTTATTGCAATATTTACCTTGACATGTTATTACAATAAATTCAAAAGAAGGTATATTACAATATAAGTGGTTATTATAAATAGCAGCATTAAATTTGAGATGTGGCAACCAAGCAAATCATAGACAGAATCACAAAGAAAAGTCATAGAACTTTTGTGAATACTGCCCCTGGTATCCATGGAAAGATTAAGTTGAAATAAAAAGGCCCTTGGTCGTGAAAAATTTGGGAACTATATATACCCCATTTTTGCCAGGTAATTGTACTGCACACTGTATTTTTTTGTGAATTTAGTTTACACATAGATGGTTCCACAAGTGTATAGGCACCAAAGTCAATTAGTAGGCCTATTTAACCTCACCTGGTATTGCTATTGTTTGAACTTTCTAATTTTTTCTAGTGTTAAGAGATCTGTATAACATGACCCTCAGTCAAAAAAATTGTGAGGGGCTAGGTGACAGGAATATACTGTCATGGAAAAATTCAGCTGCAGAATGAGGTGATGGGAATGACTCGCCATGAGTGCACAAAGCTCTTTGAGGGTGATAAGTTTCAGGAAGGGGCTCTTGCTTTATAAATGAGTAATGAAGGTGTTATGTACCATCTCTAAGCCTTGTTTGGAAGAGTACCAACTCGAGGTAGGAGACTTTCCATGCTCAGGTTCCTATTCCTGTGCACCAGTGATCAGCAGTGCAGGATATGTTACATAATAATGAATAATATGAAAATATCTAAAAATTGCATAAATGACACAAAGTTTTTTGTTATTGTACAGAAAAATAGACTACCTAGAGAGATAATATAGAGTCTACCCAAGGAAAACATTCTGTTGCCAGCTTAATATAACTTATCAATTGACAGATATAGACCTTGAAAAATGGCCAAAAAGCAAAAAGTACTTTTGCAGAAAATGAGGTAACATTGCAAAGGTAAGATAGGGAGTCTTGATATCGTATGAGTGTTCGTGTGGGCCAGGCCTACATGACACACACCCAAGAGTCAGCACTGAAGTAAGCCTAAGCCTAATACCCAGATTTTGGTCTATGTGTCCATGTAATCCCATTAATATTGCTTTCATGGAGGACTTCAGAGATGGAGACTGAGACCCAATGTTAGGGTTCTCCCCTACCTCAGGCCTCAGCTCTTGGCTCAGCCAATTTTGCATGGTCCTTTCCTCTTCCCCTTTCCTTTTCCTTCTCTTCTCCAACACCTTCCATTCATTTCCTAAGAAGTGAGAGACATGATGAAAGGATAAAAGGCCTTTATCAACTAGCCCCACTGACTAAATTTTGGTTCCTTGACCCCTTGGTCTCCTTTGATTATGACTGAACATTGTTACTCCTACCCTCTCCTCAGTACCTGTTGTCACTTCAGTCCATTCCAAGTCACCCACAGAGGGCAATACCCAACCTTCAGAAAACATTGATTTCTCTCTACCAACATCCTCCAAAACCTGTCATATTCAACCCCCCTCCTTTATTACTACTTTTCATCCTTATTGTCCACCTTCTCACAATACTACCTCACTCAGCACCACTCCCTCTTCCCCCTGTCCTTGTCCTTTAACTGCTTCTTCCTCTACAAAGCTTTGGAGTACTCTTTTTAGTCCAACTAAGTGGGATAATATTTTTATGATTCCCCATACAGGTCTGTACTCTGACCATATCCTTATTTTCCAACAATATCTCCAAAAACAAGTAGGCAAAGTTTCCTTACATAGCATTTCCAATCATTCACACCTTGTTACAGTTACATCCAAGTCTCAAGCTCATGTATTATCTACCCTGACTGACCTCACTTGCAAACCTATTCTTGCCCAACCTCACTACTCCCTGGCTACTTGTTCTGAAACTATTTACATATCCCGGCTGATTATCCTGTCTATGATAAAGATTGGTCAGACTATGAAAATGAACTGCTTGCCTGCTTCATTTTTGAATTTGTGAATTTTGAAATCTACCATCTTTCATCATAATTTTCATTATGAGGCAGTATCATTACAGTGCTACACTATTCCCCTCAGAGATGTAGGATTACATTGCCAAGATTACCTTCCATAGATGTGACCTCCCTTATGAAATTTATATTAGTAGAAAATCCTGCCCTCTCCAACCATATTGGCCTCTCCCACATCAATATCAGAAATGTTGGCATTTTGTCCAGTCGCTCAACAGCCACTGCCCTCTATGTGCCCAATCTGGCCATGATCATTCAATCTGCCTTGCACAATCAAGCACATGTGCCATCTGTGGTTCCTCCTATAATATATTTTTTTATGGGTTGCCCAAACTACAAGTTCAAGTCTGAGCTGCAGTCTTCATATTCAAACTTGGTCTCATTTTACACAAAGCCAGGCAGGAAGCACACTGACAAGGTTTTTCTCTTGCTCCCTACTCCAATGCTGTCCTTCACTCTGCGCCTCCCCCTTCTCCCCAAGATGTTTCTATATCTCCCCCAGTATCTCTTCCTCCTACTACCTAATCTCTGCCTTACCTCATTTAATGTGCTGTGTGGTACAGTGGGAGCACTCTTGTCAAGCAATCTTGCTTTCCCATGATCAAATTCCTCACCACTAGTGGATGGTAACCCAACCATTCCTTTACACACAGGGTGATTTAGAAGCAAAATAAACAAACAGCCCGTCACACCAAGAATAACCATGGTAACTAGTGGAATTGAACTAAATTATTATTATTATTATTATTATTTCTTATGTTCACACTTCTACTCCCTCCTTCTCCCAGTCAATTTCTTTTGTCATTTGAATTCCAGACACTCCAATCTCTACTTCCCTAGTATGTACCCCTCTTCCTCCTTGCTTTAACCATTGCATCAGACACTAAAAGTTCCACCCCATCTTCTACACCTATTTCTTTCTCTTCTCCTCGTAAGAAGACATACATTTTTCAGATCTCAACAAATTCCCTTTCAGAAATGCTTGAAGACATTCAAAACATTCTAATCCACCCTCTCAGTCTCCCATTCCTTCTACACTAAAAGTGACTGTTGAGATCCATCCTTTTACTCATGTTCCCCTGTACACTGCTTCCTCCTACTCCTGAATCCTTGTCTCATTCTGGAATTCTTCCCTTAACATGTCTCAGAACGATTTTACCCTTATCACTCATTGTTTCATAAGAGTTCTTCTACACAGAAATATTCATGATTCCTGTTCTTACAGACCTGTATTGTCCATTTAATCTAATCTCTCTTTTTCCCCTCTTGCTAATATTGGCCTTACCCCATTTATTCACTCTCTCTACCCTTTTCATTACCATACTATCTTAAAGTGCTGTATAACTCTTGAGTGTAGCTTATGAGACTAAGTGTAATGCCCCTCTTAACCCTTATTGCTACTTTCCTTTCCTTTGATGTCAAGCACTCTTTATTTGCATCTTATTGCAGTGCCATCCGCAACTCAGGCGACAACAGCTAAGGCATTTCATGCCACCCACACCAATGGGTTAACCATTACCCATTGGTCTAAATGTGTGTAGAGCCATCTATGCATAAGCAAGATTAGTAAATTAAAATCACAATTAACTTGTCATGTATTTTTGCCACCCTAACAACAATGGGTTAAGCTAGTTTTAGCTTCAGGTAAAAGAAGAAAAGGTAATCAGTCCTTTTTCTTTTCTTTTTATAGTGGATTTAGATATTTGAGATTCTAAACTTTGGAAATGTTGAAATTTAATTACTTTAGGTGTTATCATTTTGGTTATGTCCAAATAAAAAGGTATAGTTACCTCTGCCAAGATGTGTTTTTGGTAGGATTGGTTGTTTTGTTGGTTCACAGGATAACTCAAAAAGTTATGAACAGATTTTTAGCAAATTTTTACCTTAGGTGTGTGTAAGCCCAACTTACATAGTGATCCAGGGTAGGATCCAGATCCAGGAATTTTTTTAATGATTGGTTCAGTGTAACTATTATTATTATTAGCATTGCAAGATAGGGACAATGTTTTGACACTTGAATCATTATCCTATTGCCTTGGCAGAAGTATGTGCTCTTTGAGTGCTTCTAATTCAATTTGTTTTTCATAAGAATAGTTTTGCAATTATTTGTTACAACAATACCAAATAGTTGCCATATAGATCTACCAGCAAGTTTGCCTCATGTATTAAAAAAAAAAAAAAAAAAAAAAAAAAAAAAAAAAAAAAAAAATATATATATTATATATAATATATATATATATATATATATATATATATATATATATATATATATATATATACATATATACATATATATATGTTTGGCTCAGATCGTTGTATGGAGCTTCGTGAGGCTTCAAATGGTGAAGAGATGCTGCAGGTGGAGAAGCGATTAGACAGACAACGCAGGATTGAAGAAGCGAAGTCTGTACAGGCAGCCGAGAGACTACGAGCCAGGACATCTGTTTTTGATATCATAAATAAGAAATTAGGGAGCAAAGGTATTCCTGTGTTTCTCTTTGACTTCATTCCTTGTACTATCTGTATTTTGCTAGTTGAATATGGAAGTAGAAACAAAAGAATTTATTTGCTGTCTCTAGTTCCAAGGTAACCTATCTTGTGCCATTATTCTTTTAAGTTTTAGGTTTTATTCTTTGCTATGTTGAATTTCCTACTATAATTGTTACTTAATTGTAAGAGTTCGGCATATTTCTCAAAGAAAAACATATTTTCCAGGACAAGAAACAGATGACAGTGAAGCAGTCCCAAAGCAACGTTTGAATGTCTGTAAGACAGTCCTTCAGAAAGACACTAACAAGGACCTAAACCGAAAGAATTACCAATTAAGTGAGAACATTCGTCAACTGCAAAGAGAGATTACCAAGTTGGAGGGATCACGAGATCGTCAGAGTGGAAACAAAACAGCTGCAGACATCATTAGCACCAAAATATTGGCCAAGAAAGCAGAACTACAGCGAGCACAGGATGCAGAGCGAAAGGTCCAAGGGGAGCAGCAAAGCAGAAGAGATGCTAAGAAATTTAGTGTGTTCTAAAAGGGTTATTGTTCATGTTAGAATCAACTCACCTCATATGTATATATTTTCATGAATATGAATTTGCAGAATGTTTTTAATTGCGGTCCTATCTGGATTATCATTATTACTATTTATTATTACAAAGGTTTTCATTATTGTTGTCACATGTTACGTCTGTAGTATTTACCTCATGCTTTATGTTAAAGATAGATATAAGACAATTGTAAGCAACTATGAAATACATATACAATATAATGATAATGACAATAAATCTTTTTTAATAATTCTTTTATAGGAATCCTAACTTTGAAGGAGAGATTGTATTGATATATATTTTTCCCCCTCGTTTTTTTCATAATATATGTGACTGGAGACAAAGGTAGAAGTGATCAAAGAGGATGAATAACAATCATCGAAAAGGAAAGGCAATCAAGTTTGAGAAATACTAAGGTACATCAGGAAAGACAGTACATTTTATATATTTCCATGAATACCATCATATTCTAATTAGAAAATAAAAGAAAGCCATGCACTTGTGTGCAAGTGACTAATATAACTTTTCAGTAAAAAAAAATCTCTCACATCCAGTGTATAGTTGTATTGGAGAAATGAACCAATGAACTCTAAGATGAAAAGAGGTAAAATAATGCATATAATTTACTGTATTACTAATACCAGTACAGCTTGCCTATGAAATAACCAAGCTTACTTGCTTAATTGTTTCAGGGACACAAAAATTGAGTACTAGAAAGAAATTAAAATTATTTCCAACCATCAGTCTTTGCAAATATACTCTAGTGTTTTAAGATTTCTTGACTTCCCTTTGTAATAATAACACTGCTAGCTTCAGAATACTGTCCTTTATATTGCATCTAATTTCAAAACAAGATACTGGAAATTCTTCCCGTACTCTTGGATGTTCCAATTAGATCTTTTCTAATCAGCTGATACTTGATACTTATATTTGAATAAGTTTAGTATTTTTAAGTTCATATAAAATAATCTTGCTTTAACAACACAACGGTCTTCTCTCAGAGTCCTCAAGAATCTAGTGAGGACAGCTCAGATATTAAGGCCAGGAAGTTAGTTTTTTTTAGAAAACAAATCTAAGAATAGATTGCCAGATAACCATATTCCCTTTTATTAATGGATAATTATTTAACATCTATACTTGATACTGGTGGTGCAAAATTTACCATCAAAATCAAAATACTGTCTCAGCCTCAGCACAAACTTCTATCCTAATATTGTATCATCTATAGTTCCCAACACAACGTCTGTACTAATGTGTAAGCAGAGCAGGTCAACTACACTTCTTACTTTAAGGGGGTTGTCTGTTTTTTTTTCCGATTTTTAAATTTTTCCTGGCGATTTTGATGAAACTCTCACCCTTTTTGAGTGAATTATAGTGTATTTGTCACTGAGGAAGGTACAGGAAAAATGTTAAAGGAAGGTTTGGTTTGGGTGGTTGAGAGGATGAGGTATTTTGGGAAGGGGTAGGGGGAATATAAGGGGGTAGAGCAACTGAGTGAATTGCAGTGTATCTGTGACTGGGGAAGGAGTAGGGCCATTGATCAAGGAAAACAGAGGTGGCTGTTGGAGAAGTAGGAGAATAATCCAGGGGTTGAGAAAGGGAGACTGGAGAAGGTGGTGAAGCATCAGGAAAAATGTCTGGAGAGGAGGGTTCTGGAGATGGACACTGTTGTGATAGAGAGGATGCGTGCGAGTATTCAAGTAGTAGTGGTAGAGAGGGTGTAGGAGGAAACAGGAAGGAGGAGGATGAATATTTGCAAATACTTTAAATGTAGCAGGAGTAGGAACAGAGGGATTAGAGGGTGGATGAGGGAGCGAAGTGTTCCCTTGGGTCATCTTTATGAAGTTTTGGATGTCTTCAAGGGTTTCTGGAAGGGAATTTAGTATAGAGGACTGAGAAACAAAGGTTCTCTTATAAGGAGGAGAATATCTAAGGAACAGATGAAGAGGCAGGTGTAGGATGGTTAATGGTTAATGGTTAAAATAAATGTGCTAGACATCTAAGGTCATATAGCACTATAGGAAGGTATAGTAAAGGGGGATGTCAGGTAATAGTTGCTATGTGTCAACTATCTAGAGTAGTGTTGAAAGGTTGAATATGGGGGAAAAGGTTATGGTGGTTTAGGTAAGGGAGGTAGATCAAGCGAAGGATATTTATGCATCTGAGGAAGGAGAACAGGTTGTCAAGGCAGAAGCTGTGGGATTCTGTAAGGATGTCTGATATGTTGGGAGGTCGGTGAAGGGAGGATAGGTGTAGAAAAGCAGAGGTATGTGCTGTATTAAAGCGTGGACAGGACAGGACAATGGTTAATGGGTAAGATAAATGTGCTAGACATCTAAGGTCATATAGCACTATCGGAAAGTATAGTAAAGGGGGATGTCAGGTGATAGTTGTTATGTGTCAACTATCTAGAATAGTGTTGAAAGGTTGAAGATGAGGGAAAAGTTTATGGTGGTTTAGGTAAGGGAGTTAGATCAAGTGAAGGATATTTATGTGTCTGAGGAAGGAGAACAGGTTGTCGAGGCAAAAGCTGTGAGATTCTGTAAGGATGTCTGATATGTTGGGAGGTCGGTGAAGGGAGGATAGGTGTGGAAAAGCAGAGGTACGTGCTGTATTAAAGCGTGGACAGGACAAGAGAATGTGTGGAACTGAAAGAGGGATGTTACATAGAGGACACAGGGGCGGGTCTGAGCGTGACATTAGATAGGCGTGTGTTAGGCAAGTGTGGCCAATACGTAAGCGTACGAGGGCTGTCTCCCAACGTCTGTTTTTGTGAAATGGAGCTGATCAAGAGGAGATTGATGGTTTTACAGTCTGTAATTTATTGTTGTGGAGTCTTGACCAAAAAGATTGCCATTGGGTATACAAGGTTTTAAAGTGGGGGTAATAATCCGTAGCTGGAATATGTGAGAAGCGTAGTTGAGGTGATGTGGATATTGCGGCATAGCGTGCAAGAGTATCTGCCTGTTCATTGCCAGGGATTCCAACATGGCTGGGTACCCAGCAAAATCTGAGATTTGTGATGTGTGGATAGATAGAACAACCAGGTCTGGATCTTACAGACAAGGGGATTGGTTGAAAGATGGAAAATTAATTTGACTGGTGGATAGAGAGTAGACATAGGATGTAGGTTTTGGGTATAGGGAAAAGATATCTAGGGAGATGCAAAAATATCTTGTGAAGATGGTGGGGGAGCAGAGTTTAGGACTGTTTTGGAATAAGTTGAGAGAGAAAACCTTATCATTGTGCTTCCTGTTTGGCCGGACGTAGAGTGAGGCCTAGTTTAAATCTGAGGACTGCTACCTCACATTCAAGCTTATAGGCAGGGCAGCCCGGAGATGAGTTAATGAGTTAATGGTTTAAGATAAATGTGCTTGACATCTAAGGTCATATAGCACTATAGGAAAGTAATAGTAAAGAGGGATGTCAGGGTGACAGTTAGTTATGTGTCAACTATCTAGAATAGTGTTGAGAGGTTGAGGATGAGGGAAAAGATTATGGTGGTTTAGGTAAGGGAGTTAGATCAAGTGAAGGATATTTATGTGTCTGAGGAAGGAGAACAGGTTGTCGAGGCAGAAGCAATGGGATGGGATGGGGAGAAGTAGACTGAAATCACTGTGATCCAGCGGCGAAGAAAGATGCGAATAGCTGTGCACGGGACAGAAGTTTGTATGGGAGGTATGACATAAGGTGTTTTATGATGGATAAGTATAGCGAGACATAAAGGGAGTGTGGGGAAGAGATAAAATGGTAATTAGGAATTGGAATAGGAGGGTGTGTGAGGAAAGTCTCTTGGAGGCAGATAATAGATGGATTATAAGAAGCAAGGATATGACGTAGGTCTGATCTATGAGAGCGGAAACCGCGAATATTCCAATGTAGGAGAGCTATATCCTAGTTGATTTATGAATGATAACACATTTACGTGTTGGGGAATTTGAAGGGGAAGGAGCTAGGGGGTGTAAGGGTGGGATATTAGGAGGTAGGGAGTCTGGAGAAGGGCATTGTTGTGCCATGAGTGATTCTCGTGTGTATCCTGGAGGGAGTGCAAAGGATAGAGGGGATGGAGGGAGGGAGAATGTGCCTATAGTTGAGGTTGAAGGGGGTGGGTTGTGTTGGGAGGAGTAGATGTGTGGGGAGTGTTAGTGTTAGGAGGATGAATATCAGAAGGATGGATAGTTGGAGTTGAAGGGGATGTGTTGTCTTGGGAGGGATTAGGAGGAAAGGGTGTAGGGGTGCTGTGAGTAAGAGGGGGGATGCATATCAGGAGGATGGGTATTGGGAGGATGGATATCAGTGGTGGTTGGGATTGAGGGGTTAGGTTGTGTTGGGAGGGAGTAGGAGGAAGGGGTGTAGGGGGAATATTAGTAGGAGGGTTATGAATATCGGCAACCACTTCAAGTGTGGAAGGAGCATGAGTTATGGGATTTTGTGTCTCAAGCATATAGCTTTGAATGTCATCCATTGTTTCTGCAGTGGAGTTTGTTGGAGAGTTTTGTGAGAAGGTAATTGTTTCTGCAATGGAATTGGTTGGAGAGTTTTGTGGAATAAAGGTTTTCTTATGAGGGGGGGAAGAGGAGACTGGTGTCTCAGGAACAAAGGTATAGGTAGGTGGAGGTGATTGTGCTGTAGGGGAAGAAGGGTTAGAACGTTTAGTCTGTCTACTGCGGATAGTGCGGGGAGGGAGAGGGGTTGGTGTTGGGGCTGTAGTTGAGATAGGAGCTGTGGTTGAGATTGGGGTGTCTGGGTTTAGAGTGGCAAAGGAATTGGTCTGAGGGATGTAGAATGTAGAAGTGGAAATGGGGACATTTTTGGGTGGAGGGGGAAGGGCTGAGCGGACGATGTTGCTAGAATATGGAGTATGAGAGAAACCTTGTCGACGTGCTTCCTGTCTGGCTTCACGTAAAGTGAGACCATTTTTGTATCTGAGAGTTGCTACCTCAGATTCAAATTTGTAAGTGGGACAGCCTCTATAAAATACATTATGGGGGCCGCCGCAGTTAGCACATGTTCGTTTTTTGTGCTGAGCAGTTTGATCGATTATGACCAGGTTGGGCACATATGGGGCATTGGTCTGTGGAACGGCAATGTTTGGCAGGATGTCCAAAGCGCCAACAGTTTTGACATTGACGTGGAGGGGGTTGGTATGGTCGAACAGGGAGGGATTGTCCACCAATGTAGATACGTAAGGGAAGGTCATGAGTACAGAAGGTAATTTTGGCAATATTGGTTGGATTCTTTCGTTG